CTGTGTTTCAGAAACACACGGCTACTGGCAAACTAAAGAACATCATCATGATTTTGGCCCAAGAAATTGAAGGAATCTTATACAGATGCAAGATATTTAAAGAGAGAGGCTGGATCTGAACTGTTTGGAATTTTTCTTGGGAAAGGAATATTTACTTTTATAGGATGAATTAAACTGAGTCCCAATTACTTTTACAAAAAGTAAGACTGTTTTTCCAGAAAGAAAGAGATCAAGAGTGAGAATCAGCCCTGCCTCACCCGAAGACAGAGCCCAGTGGGGCTGCTGCCAGGATCCTTCCCCCAGTGCCCATGTGCACAGCTGAGCTGTGGGGAGGTGCTGAGTGGGAGGACTTCTCTGAGACAACAACAACAAAAAAACCCAACCAGCAATCAGTAAGCTACTCACCGGAGGTCTCTTCCAGATAAACTGGATGGGAAACTTCTGGCTATAAAAGAGAGAGGTCTCATCTGGTGGGAACTCAGGATCCACATAAAGAAACTTCTTCTCTAGACATTTCTTGTGAAGTTGCTCAAATGTCTTCTCTTTCACTCCAATAATAGGAAAATTGCGGCTGATGATAGCTGAATAGATACCACTCGGGGTTCCGCCCCCAGCCTCAGTGATCTTGCCCTGGGCTGGGTGGGGAATCTGCCCTGGGGACCTGGGCTCAGCCCTTGTCTGGGGTGCCACAGACGCGCTAATGACGGTCGGCATGGCAGGTGAATTTGGAAGGAAAAAGTTTTTAAAGAAAACAAGATACAGCTACCTTCAAGGAAAAGAAGCAACTGCAAAGGGGAAATTTTTCTGTCATCTGAGAGAAAAATGTCCACATCCAATTCAAAGTTTAAAGCTCATCAGAAGGTCTTCCGGTTTACGTCCATCTTAAAAACTGAGCCGTGATCCTGAAGCCATAAGTTTTCCTGAGGAAGGAGCACCAAAGGATTTCTGCAGCAATTTTTACCTGGGGGGCTCTTATCAGCAGCATACATGCCAGAGGGAGAGAAAGAGAGTGAGAGTTGTGTTTCAGTGGCCTGAAGAAGCTTGAGCCAGGAAAACTAAAAATAGACATGAAGAAAGATCATGAATATGAGAACAAGAGAGAGGCTAGCATGCAACTAGACTGCAAGGTTGGGAGAAAAGAACCTGGCTAGGGACATTTATGTGTTGCTATTAAGTGCTGGTGTTATCAGGAAATGAAAAAAGAATATCTGAGTAAGCTGAACACTGAAAATTAGTGAAGAACAGCTGATGTGCTGTTGAATTGGCAGTTATACAGACTACCAAACTACTGGCCACAAAATTAACGCAAAATCATATTGAAAAAAGCTAGCAAGAGTGAATGTGAGATACTGAACTTATAAGAGAATATTCTAGGCAAGTTTGAGAACATGATTTTTACTTTCTAAAACTCTAGGATATCAGAACATTTAAATTGAATTTGGCATCTCTTCTCGACTGTTCTGGTGTCAGTGTTTGGCGGAACTATAGAAAATGCCACTCAGCAGAGTCCTCAGTTGAGGAAATCCCTGTCTCTTCTTGCCCACCATACTTAGCCACCTCTTATCTCTTCCAAATCTGCTATAAGGTACGCACTTGAACACAGTTTATTCAGGCATGCCACATTAGGCATCTGAGTCCGAGTTGGAATTGGATACTGAACCAGGTTGGCCGTCAAGTCCCATGATGTCATATCAAAAGTTGGTTTCAGGCCTTTTAGATGAGAGCACAAGGAGCTCTGGAGAATGAAAGTGCCTCCCAAGCCTCCACCTTGTCTTCTACCAATGCGACCAGTATCATCAGCCCAAGATCAGAGGCTATGAGAGAAAGTGGGAAGTGACAGCTGAAATAGGGGGTACTACCAGTCTCTGCATCCTTGGAGTTGCCGCTTTGAGGGTCCCTGTGTCTGGAGTTGCAGCTTGTAGGAACCAACAGCCTAACCTCCTGCTTCTCTAAGGAAATGCCCAAGGATCTTTTGCTACTACACTTGGAGAGACAGAGAGAGGAGGGCAGCCTCTGAAGACTGTCTAAGTTCACAGTCTAGGCCTGCTGCTCACTGGCTGTGCCTGTGTAACTTTAGGTGAGTGACTTTTTCCTCTCTTCCTATGTCTCAGTTTTCTCACGTATAACATGGATATAATATAGTTATTATGTTATTGAATTGTAAAAATTAAACTAATTTATGTAAACATTGCAAATAGTTCCAGGATTGTTTTAAGTACTCCATAAATATTGTTGTTAGAGGTGGCATGAATTTAATATTACTTTGGGGTTAGATCAGGTTCAGAGATATTCACTCCACTGGTGCAAATCAACACTCACTCTGTGAGCATTTACTGAAGCTCATCCAAGTGTATAGCACTGGGATAGGTGCAATCTGCCTAGGACTTGTGAGGCACGTCTATTTGGCTGCACTAAAAGAGCCTCTAAAGACTGCCTGCCTCCCTCAAACTCACCAATGGCATGGTAAGCAAAGGAAGGAGTTTCCTTCCCCTACCATCATATTTGAACTCCAGCCCAGTACTCTCTATCTGTCCCACCTTGAAATTCATAGCACTGACTCATATTTTATTGTTTCTGTTTATTGAGCTTCCTGTCTGCCTACAGGACTGTAAATTCCGTGAAGTTGGGAACTGGGTCCCCATTCCACCCTCAGGGTTAAGCATATAGAAGGCCGTTTGTTGATAAATGTGTGTTGTGTACCTGCTGAAAGAAATTTCCCTGTGTTAGGGGATATTTCTTACACTCCTTATTGCTTTGGCAAAGCAGTCAAAGTTTCTTGGCTGATTTGCCCTTGCGGGAGGAGCTGTCTCTGGGCTACACACATGCTGACCTTTCTTTTTTCAGCTTTCTAAGCCAGCTCCATCTGTTAGTAACTAAGCTGTGTGCATGACAGAGATGAACCTCTTGTCATAGCAAGCTGGGAATATCAAACACAGAGTGCAAAGTGCTATTTATTTTGCTCTACCAATTGCCGTGGATAAAAGCCCCTCTCAGATTAGCAGGTCCAAACTCAAGGTTTATTCAGCTGCCCAGCTGTAGAAATGCATGCTATCAGGGAGAAATGCAATCTGAGATCAAGAACAAAGAGATAATGAGCATATAAACAGCTGTACATTTCAATTCCCAGTAGCCTCTCCTTCATAAAGAACTAGTTTTTATGACATATTTCAGCAAAGGACATGCAATATCTATGGCTGGAATGGTTTCTGTTGCAACAAGACACATCAATGGCTCTGTATCCCTGTCTTTTCCACCAGTCTTTGATTCAACACTGTTGGAAGCAATGTATTTGCTTATAATATCCACGATTCATTAAGTGCCTACTGTACACTAGCCACTTCAAACAGTTTAAAACATTTTAAATTTTAAAGTAATTTTAGATTTACAAAAGAGTTGCAAAGATAGTACACCCTTCACCCAGCTTCCACTAATGTTTACGCCTTATATAACCACGGTACAGTGATCGAAACTAAGAGATTATTGGTATGACACTATTAACTAAACTATGACATATTTTGATTTCTTCAGTGTTACCAGTATTATTATTTTATGCTTCTGTTACAGGGTCTGATCCAGGATCCTGCATTGCATTTAACTGTCATGTCTCCTTAGTGTCCTTCACTGTCTGACAGTTCCAGTCTTCATCTCTCATGATCTTGGCATTTTTGAAGAGTATGTCAGGTATGTTGGAGAATGTCTCTTGAGTTTGTCTGATGTTTCTCACATGATTAGACTGAGGTTATGGGTTTGGGGGAAGAATATCACAGAGATGATGTGTCCTCATTAAATGATTTCTGGGGGTAACGTGATATTGATGTGTTTTATCACAGGTGATGTCAATTTTGATCACTTGGCTAAGGTGGTATCTACCAGGTTTGTCCAAAGTTACTATTTTTTCCTTTCTACACACATAGAATATTTTAAACCAACTCTGCAGGTTTGATAAATCCCATTTTACAACTGAAGAAACTCAGTATATCTGCTGTATTTTTATAGTTAAGTCATGGAAAACTCGGAGAATTTTAGAGATTATCTCTTTTCTTTAACACATGAGGAAGGCAAGGACTAGAGAGAGTAAACGACATGGTCAAGATCACTGAAGAACCAAACTAGTCCCTGGCTCTCCTGATTTCCAGTAAAGGAGTACATATATGATAAAGACGCCAATAACATGAATTAGGCATAAGATCTCTGGATCTTTGTGTATAAGTAGTCAGGGCTTCCCTTCCCCTAGCTCTGATTGGAGAGGAATCCAACACCATCAGCTCTGCTGGAAACAACTGCCAAGAAGCAGCTAATTCTGGCTGGCCTTGTGGCATTGCAGTCTTTAGAAAGGGTGGTCATAGGACAGGCAGATCTGATATCAGATACCAATGTCTCCTTTATTTCTCCTAGAATGCTAGCTATATGGTCCTTTTGTCTGTTGTTAATATGGTAATCTGTTTCCTGTGAAGCTGCTGATGGCTTTCCATTCCCTGGGCTGAGAAGTTAGTCTAGAGTGTCCCTTCTCCCCCCAGAATTATACAGGGCAGTTCAAGGGTTTGGTAAGTGGAAATCTTAAAACCAGAATGGAATGCTTGATATTGCAATAAAAATTCCATTACTAAGAAGGCTTTTTAGGCAGGATGGTCAATTGTGAGCTAATAGCTATTAAGCTCCAGATACTTATGTTTTTCGATTATTTCTGCTGCCTATCATTATTTAGCTTTAAATACTATTGAAACCCACATTTTTATTAAGCAAGAGCACCTAGTTTTCAGGTTAAGTCTTAACTGTAGGCTGGCAAGGGAAATTTGAAGCTGGGAAATACAACTTCAGCTAATGTAGGCTTCTTCTTAGAGATTTAGGAGCAAAGAATCCGCATATGTCTTTGTGAGTTTATGTATGGTGCAAAGCTCAAATCTCAACTGATACAATGAAATGTGTCTATGAGGAAATGTACAATGTTTAGTACCTCTGGAGGGAAGAGTCTTATGTCAGAAAAGTAAATCAGAAACAAATACATTCAATTCTCACTTTTTAATCAATCAAATCCATCAGTTAACCAATTACAGCCAATAGTTACTGAAAGCCAAGTATAATGGTGCTCTGGCAGATATAAGACAAATATAACAAGCCCTTGAGGAACACACAATCTAGTAGTGGAACGAGACAGACGAACCTGAAATATTACGGAATCATCCCTGAGAATGCTAAATAGAATACATATTATAAATGGGGCAGCATTTCAGAAGGGGGAAAAATCACTGCTCATGGGTTCAGGGAAATGGAGGTGTTAGGATAGTTAGAAAGGCTTAAAGTTAGAAAAGTGAAATTTGAATTGGGCCTGGTAAGATTTGCACAGGTAGAGGGATAGGAGTTGATATTGGGGCCCAGGGACCAGAAGGCACAGGGTGGCCGTTGGCAAGTTGCTAAGTAAAGAAAGCCTGATAAGTAAATGTGCATTTTGAGCCATGCTGAGTTCATGAGGGTCCCCCAACCGCTGTGACAGACAGCAAGGAGTCACTGGGGTCTCCAGAGCAGACAGCATCCCGAGGAATGGGTATGTTGTAAAGTTCTATCCCATGCCAGGCTGTACTGGAGCCAGAAGTAAAAGGAGAACTCAGTAATACCGATCCTGTCAGTATTTAATAATTTGATATTTTGTTAATCATGAATGTTTTGCATTAATTTTGATATTTTAAAATATGATTTATTTTGGTAACAGTGTTTTTTTTGCCACTCCTTTAAATTCTGTGCCCAAGACAAGTGCCTTACTTGCCTCACCCTCTTCCGAGTTCTGTGTTCTATTTCTGAAGTTCGGTAGTGGGGACATGGATATTTATTTTATTATTACTAATTATAGCTTACTCATGTTATAAATATTCTTTGGTTAGTAGTATTTAATAACAATTAAGATTAAAAATTAGAATTTTAAGAAGATTAATTTGGAATTTTGGAACCCAAAAGCATGACAGGGAAAAGACTCCTTTGTACTCCTGAGTCAATCTCTAGGGGAGAATAACTCCCTGTTGCTGCAATGTATGCAGTGCAAGCAGAAAAGGGTTGTTCTGCCCACACTCAAGGGGGTAAAAGATAACTATGGGGAGTACCAGAGGCTGCTGTCCATCTGGAGATAGCCTCGAGCAGCTCAGCTGCTGTAGCCAGAGTGACTCTGCTGCATGGCCTGAGGTAAGCTTCCACAAATGGGCCACACAAGGTGGGCTTGGCCCAAATCTCACATAAAACAAACGCACCCAGCTGTGCTCAGAGAGAAGCCACTCAGTGGGTCACAGTGCTTACCAAAGGACCATGGCCCAAAAAGCAATGGAAGATACATGAACTCTATAAATGTCTCAGGGTTCCCTGCATCTAGAGGAGGTGGTGTTTGGCACAAAGAGTATTACTAATACATGTAAAAATATAAAATCTGAAATCTATTGTTCATTAATAAACTGAGGACTAATGAAAGATTATTCTGAGCCAGAGAAGTCAATTAGTATGCAGCACAACTCCCAAAAAAGACCAAGGGAAAGGTTGAAAGGTGAAGGCTGCTCTTTGAGCTTGTCAGCAGACACTCTTCTCTGTCATTTAATGTAGACCTTCCAGTCAGTGCCAACGTTCAGTGAAAGCTTCTCTAGGCTCAGGGTGGATGTTTCGGCACAATATGTAAAAGCCACAGGCTGATCTTTACCATCTAAATGTCAAGACAACAAAAGAGAAAGTTTGATGAATTCTAGGAGAGAAAACTTTATTCTTTATATCTGAAATATTTCCGACTCTGTCATAAAACTTTATTATACCCTACTTAGGAGAATTTTACTGTCACCAATGAACTGCCATGAATTTTGAAAACACTCCAATGCAAGATTGAAAAGAAACTGTAAGGAACAAAGTGATTTGTCCAAGAAAGGAAATATCTCATCCTATACCCTTTAAGAAACTCCATAAACATGAGCAGGGCTTCAGGCATCTGCAGTTTGAAAAATATTCAGAGAAGTCACAATATTATTTCAAGCCCCAAATAATTTCTCTTAGAAAAATAATAACAGCTTGCAGTGAGCAGAGAGTCGGTGATGTTGATGAAGAGAAGCAAGATAGGTTTACTCCCTCTGGATACTAGTATATATGACCTCTACCAGAAAGTGCAAAGTCCACTTGGCTAAGCTCATTATGTCAGTTTTATGACTAATCATAATCTTTACTGCAGATATTTCCATGTTTACAAAAAACAAATGGCCCTGTTTCCTCACCAGATGAATGAGTGGTCACCAAAGATGGCTGCTTCTTGAGGCCTAGGACCAAGATCTGCTCCACCACACACTTGCTGAGATAATGACCCCTCTCATCGGCGCAACTGAAATAAAGAAAAATGGAATTAGGAAAAGGAGAGAAACAGGCATTTGGACTGGTTACTAGGTCAACATCCCTAGCCTTGTTATTTCTCCTCCCTTCTTTTCCTGTAGATGTCTGAACCATATAGTTGTCATATTTACTAGGATAAGGAGACAGAAATATGCCGAGGGCTAGCTAACCAGTAACCAAACCAGTCTCTCCTTTTTAACAAGCCATTTGGAGAGAAATCAGCTAAGGACATTGAAGTCACAAATGTGACTTGGACAGATGCTTAATAAATTGTTGAATGGATGAATAAATGGGACTAATGGGAACTTACATTGAATTCTTTTTTTATTTTTTAGAGAAAGAAGGAAAGAAAGACGGAGATAATAAAGAAGAGAAGTTCATGGAGTGATTGGAAAAATACTCCAGGGGACTCTAGACCAAGATGGTGACATATACGAGGCTTCTGAATTTCCCTCCTTCCATGGATGAACAAATGTAAAGCTAAACATGGAGCAATTCCCTCTGAGAGAAATCCAGAAACTAGCTGACTGACTCCTACACATATGGTGACTAAAAAAATACCCACATCAAAACAGGTAGGAAAGGCTGAGACACACTGTCTCCATAATTCCCATCCCCAGCACAGTGCCATACAATTGGGAGGGAACCCCCCACTCCCAGCTTCTCCATGAATACTGAAGGGTTTGCACCCCAACTTTTAAGACTACCCAAGGAATAGGCCCCCAAATTACCTAGCACTGATAGCCAACAGGGTTTGTGTTCATGAGTCGCACAAGGTTATAGCAAACAAAGTAGTAATTATTAATGGGTGTGCTACAGCTATCTCCACAAGGCTCAGCACAGAGGGAATAGGCAAAATACCCATTTTTCAGTTTCTCTCTGGAAGGTGTTTGACCACAAACTTTAGCAGCTACTGCCTGGTGGTCCAATTTCTAATCAGCTTGTATCTAGGTGCTGACTTAAGTCTCCTCTTTTGGGACACCGATGGGTCTTGGCATACCCTTGACTACTGGCAGCTACTTAAAAACAAATATGGCAACTCAGATAATCACAAAGGTTTGAGAAGCAACCAAGAACTCAGACCAGGCTGATTGATGAAGTTCATCTCCTTCACGAGATGAATCTGTCAAGACTAGAAAAGGTGGTTGTTTTATCCATTGTGCAGAAATCAGCACAGAGAGTCAAAGAAAATGAAGAAAGAAGGGAATATGTTCCTAACAAAATAAAATGATTAGTCTATAAAAACTAACCTTAATGAAATGGAGATAAGTTATTTAGATGATAGAGAGTTCAAAATAATGGTCATAGAAATACTCACCAAGGTCAGAGAGCAGTGTATGAACAAAGTGAGAATTTTAACAAAGTGATAGAAAATATAAAAAAGTACCAAACAGAAACCACAGAACTGAAGAATACAATAACTGAACCAAAGAATTCAATAAAAGGTTTTGACATCAGATTAGATCAAGTGGAGGAAAGGATCAGTGAACTCAAAGCCAAGGTAGTGGAATTCATCCAATCAAAGGAGCCAAAAAGAAAAAAAGAGTGAAAAAGAATGAAGATAGCTTAAGAGACTTATGGGACACCACGAAGCGGACCAATAGATGCAGTATGGTAGTCCCAGAAGGAAAAGAGAAAGGAAAGGGGCAGAAAGCTTATTTAAAGAAATAATCGCTGAAAACTTCCATAACCTGGAGAAAGTAACAGACATCTGGATCCAGGAAGCCCAATGAGTACCAAAAGAGGTGCATCTAAAGAATCCACACCAAGATCAATTATAATTAAGTTGTCAAAAGTTAAAGAGAGAATCTTAAAAGCAGAAAGTGAAAAGTACCTTTTTATGTGCAAGCCTACCCCCATTAGATTATAAGCAAAGACCCTGAAGGCCAGAAGGGAGAAGGATGATATATTCAAATAAACAACTGCCAACTAAGAATACTCTACTTGGCAAAGTCGTTCGGAATTGAAGGAGAGATAAAAAGTTTTCCATACAAACAAAAGCTAAAGGAATTCATCACCACTAGGCCAGCCTTACAAGAAATGTTAAAGGGAGTTCATAAGCTGAAATAAAAAGATGCTAATTAGTAACATGAAAATATATATAAGTATTAAACTCACTGGTAAAGATAAATATATAGTTAAATCCAGAACACTAATGGTGGTGGGTAAATCACATAACTCTTGTATAAAGGTTAAAATACAAAAGTATTAAAAATAATTATAACTATAATAATTTGTTAATGGATACACAATATAAAAAGATCTAAATTGTGACATAAAAAACATAAAATGTGGGGAGGAGAGTGTAAAAATGTAGAGTTTTTGTTATATATTTAAAATTACGTTATCAGCTTAAAATAGACTGTGATAACTAAAAAATGTTTTATATAAGCTTCATGGTAACCAAAAAGCCAAAACTTATAGTAAATACATGAAAGATAAAGAGAAAGGAATCAAAGTATATCACTATAGAAAATCATCAAATTATAAAGGAAGAGAAAAAGGAAGGAACTACAAAATAGCTAGAAAACAATTAACAAAATGGCAAGGGTAAGTCCACACCTATCAATAATTATTTTAAATGCATTTAGACTAAATTCTCCAATCAAAAGAGATAGAGTTGCTGAATGGCTAAAAAACAAGACCCAACTATAAACTGCCTATAAGTAATTCACTGTAACTTCAAGGACACACACACATTGAAAGTGAAGGGAGGAAAAAAGATATTTAACCAAAAGAAAGCATTTAACCAAAAGAAAGCATTTAACCAAAAGATATTTAACCAAAAGATATTTAACCAAAAGATATCTACATCAGACAAAACAAACTTTATGCCAAAGACTGTAACAAGAGACAAGGAAGATCATTATATAATGATAAAAGAGGTCAATTCATTAAGAAGATATAACATTTATAAATATTTAGGCACCCAACATCAGGGCACCTATATATATAAAAGAACTATTAACAGATCTGAAGGGAGAAAAAGACAGCAATACAATAATAGTAGGGGACTTCAATATCCTGCTTTCAACAATGAATAGATCATCCAGACAGAAAATCAACAAGGACTTAAACTACATGTCATACCAGATGGACCTAACAGATATAAAACATTCTATTCAAGAGCAATAGAATACATACTCTTGTCAAGTACACATGGAACATTCTCCAGGACAAATCATATGTTAGGCCACAAAACAAGTCTTAACAAATTTCAGAAGACTAAAGTTATATCAAGCATCTTTTCTGACCATAATTGTATGATAGCAAAAATCAATTACGAGAAGAAAACTGGAAAATTCACAAATGTGTGGAGATAAAATAACATGCTCCTGAACAACCAATGGGTCAAAGAAATCAAAAGAGAAATAAAATATCTTGAGACAAATGAAAATGGAAACACTAGCGACTAAAACTTACAGGGTACAGCAAAACAGTTCTAAGAGGGACATTTATATAGCAATAAATGCCTACGTTAAGAAAAAAAAAAAAAAGATCTCCAATAAACAACCTAACTTCACACCTCAAGGAACTAGAAAAAGAACAAACTAAGGTCCAAAATTAGTAGGATGAAGGAAATAACAAAAATCAGAAATAAATGAAATAGAGGAGATAAATGGAAATAGAGACAGTGGAAATAAATGAAATAGAGACTAAAAAGACAATAGGAAAGATCAATGAAACTGAAAGCTGTTTTTTTTAAGAAAAGATAAAATAGACAAGCCTTTAGCTAGACTCACCAAGAAAAAAAGAGAGAGCTCAAAATCAGAAATGAAAAGAGACATTGCATTTTGTACCACAGAAATACTAAGGCTCATAAGAAATTACTTGCGAACAATTATACGCCAACTAATTGGATAAGCTAGGAGAAATGGGTAAATTTCTTAGAAACATATAACCTACCAATGCTGAATCAAGAAGAAAGAGAAAATCTGAACAAATTACTAGTAAAAAGATTGAATCAGTAATCAAAGACCTTCCGACAAAGAAAAGTCCAGGACCAGATGGCTTCACTGGTGAATTCAACCAAACTTTAAAGAATCCTTTTCGACCCTTGCCTCCCCCTGCAAAAAAAATGCATAATAGAAGAGGAGGGGCTACTTTCAAACTCATTTTATGAGGCCAGCATTACTCTGATACCAATGCTAGCAAGGACACTACAAAAAAAGAAAATTACTGGCTAACATTTTTATGAACACAGATGTGAAAATCCTCAATAAAATATTAGCAAACTGAATTCAACAGTCCATTCAAAGGGTCATACACCACGATCAAGTGGAATTACCCTTGGGATGCAGAGATGGTTCAATGTAACAAATCAATAAATGTGATATACCACATTAACAAAAGGATAAAAATCATATGATCTTGTATACCTAAAACTCATATGTTATTAACTAATGTTACCCCAATATATTTATTTAAAAATCATATGTCAACTCAATAGATGCAGAAAAAGCTTTTAAGAAAATTCAACATCCCTTCATGATAAAAACTCTCAACAAATTGAATATAGAAGGAACACATCTCAACATAATAAAGGCCATATATGACAAGCCCACAGCTAACATACTCAAAGGTGAAAAGCTGAAAACTTTTTCCCTAAAACTAGGAACAAGACAAGGATGCCCACTCTTGCCATTTTATTCAGCATAGTACTGGGCATCCTAGCCAAAGCAATTAGGGGAAAAAGAAGAAAGAAAAGAAATAAAAGGCACCCAAATCAGAAAGGGAAAAGTAAAACTGTCTATTTGCAGGTGATATGATACTGCACATAGAAAACCCTAAAGACTCTACCAAAAACTGTTAGTCAAATTTAAAAAATTTAGTATAGTTGAAGGATACACAATCAACATACAAAAATCAATTGTGTTTCCCTAACAACAAACTATTGGAAAGAGAAATTAAGAAAACAATCCTATTTACAATAGCACCAAAAAGAATACTCAGGAATAAATTTACCCCAGGAAGTGAAAAACCTATACACTGAAAACTATAAGATATTGATGAAAAAATTGAAGAAGACTCAAACAAATAAAAAGATATTTTGCATTCATGGTTGGAAGAAATAATATTGTTACAATATCCATACTATCGAAAGCAATATACAGAATCAGTGCAATTCCTATCAAAATTCCAATGTTATTTTCCACAGAAATTGAAAAACAATCCTAAAATTCATATGAAAGTATAAAAGACCCTAAATAACCAAAGCAATCTTGAGAAAGAAGAACAAAGCTGGAGGCATTATAATTCCTGATTTCAAACTGTATTACAAAGCTATAGTACTCAAAACTACTATGAAGAGATATCTGCACCCCATGTTCATCGCATTATTATTCACAATAGCCAAGGTATGGAAATAATCTAAGTGTCTGTCAATGGATGAATGGATAAAGAAGATGTGGTTTATACATACATGCATACATACGTACATACACACACACACACGTGCGTGCACACACACACACAATAGAATATTATTCAGCCTTAAAAAATATGGATATCCTGCCATTTGTGACAACCTGATAAACCTGGAGGGCATTATGCTAAGTGAAATAAGACAGACAGAGAAAGACAAATACTGCATGGTATCATTATATGTGGAATGTTTTTTTTTTTTTTTAAGTTGAACTAATAGAAACAGTAGAATAGTGATTGCTGGCGGGGGGGTGTTAGGGGAGGAAATAGGGAGAGGCTGGCAAAAGGGTACAAACTTTCAGTTATAAGATGAGTAAGTTCTGAGGATCTAATGTATAATATGGTGACTATACTTGATAATTCTGTATTGTATAATTGAAATTTGCCAAGAGAGTAGAATGTAAGTGTTCTCACACCAAAAAAGAAAAAGGTATAAGAAGTACAAATTAACAGTTATAAAATAGTCATGGGGATGTAAAGTACAGCATAAGGAATATAGTCAATAATATCGTAATAACCATGTATATATAGTACCAGGTAGGTACTAGAGTAATTGGGGGTTTCACTTTGTAAATTATATAAATGTCTAACCATGACGCTGTACAGCTGAAACTAATATAAAATAATATTGAATGTCAACTGTAGTTGAAAAAGAAAAAGTAAATATGTGAGGTGATGAATGTATTAATTAACTCAATGGTGGGAATCCTATCACAATGTATACATATATAATATCATCATATTGTACACTTTAAATATGTTACAATTATAGCTTTAAGGTCAATTATACCTTAATGAAACTAAAAATAAAGAAAAACACTATAAATGACCTTCATCATTAACTTCTTTAAATAGAACCTTAAAATATGAGCTGTGCATTTGAAGATAGCAAAGGATACCATAATTTACCTAAGAAAACAGATTTTTAGCTGTCAATACCTGTTGATCAAAACACCTGAACAAAAAGAAAACTTCCTGTGCAAGAATTGCTTCTGGTGGAGGTATTGAAATGAATGGCCATCGTCGAGATAGAATTCACCCACAGCAGAACCCTGGAGAGTAAATCACAGATAGAAAATGTGCTTATATAATAGCTTTCTAGGAAAAGAATGTCACCCCCCTAAAGGGAAATAAAAGATTATAAAATTTGTGAAAAGTTATGTTGAACAAAAGTTTAATATTCAAGTGGTACCAATTTAAGCATCATACAAATGTTCAATACCCATTAGTAAAATAATATGATAAAGAAATCACACAAGAGGAGCATAAAGAGTTAGGCCTTGTTGAAAGAAATTTAAACTATGAAGTCTAGTCAGTAGCATAGGTGGCTTCCCTGAAAATGCTATCCTCGAATATGACAACAGGTCACAAATAGTTCATAGAATGAAACTGAAGTTAAAAAAAAAAATAGTATAAATAGATGCAATCAATTATTTTTAGAAGACCCACCATTTAGATAACAGTATCTAGTTCCTACTTTTTCTAGTAGGAGGACTCCTTTTGCATGTCAAACAATGTCACAGCACTCCATATGGCAGTTTACTGTTATTGACAATGCTTGATGTGCTATGGATCTCAAGTCTCTTGTGTTTGTTCTGTGGCCTCTAATGGGTCTGAGGCCCATAATTTGGCTCAAGAAAACATGTCTAAGTGAAATAGATGGAAAAGGAGTATATAAGAAAAAGAAAGCTTAATTATTTTATAATATTTGTATAAGAGTAAGAATTTGTGTTTCATACTTGGGGAAATGGATAGGAAAGAAATCTGCTATAGGCATCATTTGGCTCAAAAGGACAGATCAATTCTGGATTCTTCCAGGTTTTACCCAAGGAGATTTTAGTTATTTAAGCCATCTGATGAGAATAGAAGTCATTGTGTGGGGGTGGTGTCCTGAAATGTTGCATAAATACTGATATCAGTTTACAGGAGGCTGAGTTTCACGGCTAATCCATGTGGCAGGCTGCCTATATCCCACTGACCTTTCAGTCTAGTGGTAATCAATGCCAAGCTGCAGAGTACCAAGGGTCATGGTGCCCCAAAGAAGAAATTTTTATCATTTCTAGCTCTCAGAGTTCCCTTAAGAACAAAGTCAGACAAGTTGGACAATGATTCAGAAATTATTCAAAACTCTGGTTTCTAAATAAACAACAGAAGCACTTATCCCATAGATGGGGTTCACCACTTTTGCAGAGTGTCACACACTCAAAAGGCTACCACTGTAAAAAGACGGAGTAGTAACAATGAGATGTGTAAAGGTAACATTTCCCAAATACCTCAGTGCTTAGAGCCACCCGGAGTCCATACGGGAAATCAGTCATCCAGCCCGTGGATTTTCCTATAGTTGTCTTTATTGGTACTACACTCCCACCTCGTTGGAACACTGGTATCTATAACAGAGCAACACTCTCAGGGAAGGAGTATTCATCCAAGGCAATTTCAAAGCAGAATTTTAAAATATTTCATTGTATAAGACTCACATTCTTTACAAGTGTAGACTCAAAAGTAAAATAAATTTGTGGGTACAGAGAGATGGCCTTGGCATTAAAAGAGCTCAAACACAAAAAAATGGTCAATTTTTTAATTATTAGAGGAACTTCTCACCCTTCATCAATTTATTCTATAGTCTGCTTATCCTATAAGTAGTCTTTCCTATTTTGTATTTAAAATATTCCTATCCATGTAATAAAGATGTCTATTTCTAGGACCTGCTAAAGAGTGAATTTTTCGGTGTAAGCAGGCCCAGATATATATGGTAAAAAATAAAAGATGGTAGTTTCTTGGTTTAGGGGAGATAATTTTTGTCCTTACTCATTGCAACCTATAGCCTTCTTGCTCCCTGCTTCCCCGGATCACCAGGATGAATATCTCAAATCTGAGGGTAAATTTGTGAAACTTCTGTTATAGAAGCCACCAAAGGTACTTTAAGTGACTCTAGCAACAGGGCTATAGGCATGACCCATACCTATGGTGACATCCTTTGGGAATGGTGTTCCAGTAAGGAAAGCCCAATAGGTTTTCTGCCTTCCAGTACAATCCTCTGTAAGGAAGCTCCTGAGATCATATGAGGGCTTGTACAGTAAGTAAAGTATAAATAGGAAGAGTAGAAGAATATAAATGAAGTTGGAGTGAGGTATAGTAGTTAAGATGTCCACCCTCTGTTTGACTCATAATTGGCAGCAAGAAGTAAAGCACATCTATCTCCCTATCTTCACCAGCCAATCTCTTTTTGACCCTTAAAGAATGAGGTAGTAAGTTAGTATGGCTCTGATATGGGAGTCTAGCTGACTTGGGGACTTGTTTCAGTTCTGTCACAATCTAGTCACAACTCTGGACAAGTAATTTAGCTTCTCTGAACCCGTTTCTTCACCTGCCAAGCATGTGGAATTAGAAGAGATGAATGTTAAGATCTCTTCTATATCTGAAAGTTGACATCTGAGATAATTTTATTTCTAATGGAGTTCATATTGCTGCTATTAAAAAAAATAATATCAATATCTATTTAGTAACCATCACACTACTTTGAGCTTGTGGTAGTGGCTGTGATTCAGCTGCAGGAGCCAAAGTCCTTTCAGAACTTCAGTCCGAGTGGGCTGCTTCAATTCTAATATCGTAACTAATAGCATTCCCTTGGGCCTAGAGGTCCAAGGTTGTAATTTAAAACTCATGTTTCTACTTGGTCCTGTAGAACTGGGGTCCCCAACTCCCGGGCTGCGGACCAGTACTGGTCTATGGCCTGTTAGGAACCAGGCGGCACAACAGGACAGGAGCAGCAAAGAGTGAGTGAAGCTTCATCTGTATTTGCAGCTGCTCCCCATAGCTAGCTCCACTTTAGATAATCAGGCATTAGATTCTCACAGGAGCCCCAGTCTTTGGTGCCAAAAATGTTGGTGACTGTTGCCATAGAAGGACATTCTGATGGCATGTGTGGTGACCACCATGTTTACTCTCTGTTTTCAGTGTTATTGTTTTTCTTAGACATACAAATGTAAATATATGGGGAAGAGTGTTTGTCCTTGATGTTTCATACTGTGAAATTAGAGTACATGTTATTTTTATACTCTTTTTTCTTACATTTAAACAGCTTTATTGATATAATTCACATGCCATACAGTTCATCCATTTAAAGTATACGGTTAAGTAGTTTTTAGTTTATTCAAAGTCATGCAACCATACCACAATTTAAAAACATTTTCATCACCCCCAAAAGAATCTCAGTGCCCATTAGCAGTCATTCCCCATTGCTCCCCAAACCCTTTCCCTCCCCAAGCTCTAGGCAACCACTAATCTACTCTCTGTCTCTATATGTACATCTTATTATACAAGACACTAATGTCCTTGGTTCTATGTGGGCACGTTATGGACTGAATGTTCGTGTCCCTCCAAATTCACATGTTGAAGCCCCCACCTCTAATGTGACTGTATTTGGAGATAGGGCCTTTACAGAAGTAATTAAGGTTAAGTGAGGTCATAAAAGTGGGGCCCTGATCTGATAACTCACTCCCCCTCTCTGCCATATGAAAACACAAGAAGGTGGCTGTCTACAGGCCAAGAAGACAGTCCTCACCAGGAACTGAACTGGATGGCTTAAACAACAGAAATTTATTTTCTCACAGTTCTGGAGGCTAGAGTCCTAGATTGTACTTTGTTATGGCAGTCCAAGCAGACTAGTATAACACAATATGGAAAATAACAGTCTGAAAATAACTTACAGTGTCCAAGGCTACTGGGATCTTCACAGTACATGCTCCTTCCCAATGAGCAAATGTCTTAGAGTCATACCAGACCTGAAAAGGAACGGACACTGATGAAAAAGAATATATGAGAAACTCTGTTCACAATTTCATTATTCAGTGAAACAACCATTTGTCTTGATTACAAATAACCAGAAAGCTAAAGTATAATTAAAAAAAAATTTTCAGCATAAGTTAGGAAGAACTTTTAAGATCCCAAAGGACTAACCCACTACTGTAGACGAATTAATGCTACTCTTTGTCTGTCCATCCATCATCCATCTATCCATCTATCCATCCATCCATCCCTCACCCATCCATCCGAAAGTTATTTATTAAATAGCCTACCATGTACCCAGCTTTGCGAGGTACACATGAGTGAACAGAAAGACATAGTTCTGGATCTCATGGGTTTTACAGTCCAGTTGGCTTATAAAAACTTAATGCATCTATTAGTAAAAAAGATGATGAAAAAGAGAAGAAAACAACAACAAAGAAGAAAAGCACACTGCGAACAAATAAATTTCAAATGAGGCAGGAGAAAAGGAAAGTGTCACAGAAGGAAACAGATCTTGGAGAAAAACAAATTATAACTTGGATTACTACTATAGGATCATTTTTTTACAGAATACAATTCAGGGGTGGGGTTCAAACTCTTATTTGAGATTCTCGTCAAGGTGGTTTAGTTGCTGAAGTACCAAAAATGTCCTACTAAGTAATTTGATGGGATAAATCCTTAAGATACCATCAGGAACAGCACAAAAACAAAAATCACTTTTTCTCTCTTCTAGCCCGGTATAATTTCTGGTGGCCACAGAGTCTATTTCATAAATTTACCTGCTGGGATTACCACATCCTTTATATAGCTGGGCTGTTGCATCTGTCACTGTCCTGCTGTGAATGTGAGTGAGCTGTGACTTGACTATGGTTAGTTACAGTGAACTCTTAATTCAACAGGACCAGTCCCACCTCCTCATGATGCATTATCCTAGCCTGGATTTAATTTGCTAATGTTTTGTAAAGGATTTCTGTGTCGGTGTTTACGAGGGATATTGTCTTAGCTTTCTTTTCTTATAATGTCTTTCTTTGCTGAATTCCAGTAGCTTTAGATAAATAGCTGGTGGGAGTGAAAGGTAAAAAAAAACCCAAAAAACTGATTCAAACAAGATTTGAGGATTACCTAGTTACCATTTCTAGAACTAATTAGAATGAGAAGTATAGGATATGTGCTCTGGTGCCATATGGCCTGACAAAAAAGGGTATAACTGGTATACAATATCATGTAGATCAGACCTAGACCTCAATCACCAAGCTCTTCACCCAGCAAATACTTATTGAAGGCCTACTATGTGCCAGGTACTCATCTAGATGCTGGGGATACAGCAGTGAACCTAACAGATAAACATCGCCACCTTCAAGAAGCTAACATTCTAATGGGAGAAACAGATAATAAACAAAAGATGTAAGTAAATATATAGAATGTTAAAAGGTGACATGTTCTATGGAGAGAAATAAAGAATTGAAGGAGGGCTGGACAGGAGCAGTAGGAGTGGTTTGTAATCTTAAAGAAGGCTTTGCTGAGGACACATTTAAGAAAAGATTTGAAGGACAGGGAATAGAGAAAATGACAGTGAGGGATTTCTGATAGCCCCTGCACACAGTGTGATATGGTAATAGCTAACCAGTGAGGTAAATGTCTGGCAAGAAACAGCTTGGCTCCTTCTACCCAAGCTTTGGGAAGATGTAAGCAAGAGAAATAATTACACAATGCTCTGGTGGGAAAATAGTGCTAAAGGAATATACTATATAGCCACGATGTACTTGCAATGATGATAGGTCATTAATAAAAATTTATGGCTAAGTCAGAAAGTGAGCTTGTCCCTCTTAATGGGAGCTTATGCTTTGTTAGAATGAACTTGAGACATTCTTAGCAGAAATGCTTGACAGGACAACTTATTTAGCTATTGTTGTATTTGACTTTTTTCTCAGGTTTCTACTCAGCAGCAGAATCTTTGTAAAGAGCCCTCACTTTTAAAACCGAAAATCACTGGAGAAACCAAGGGGAAAGAACATAATTCGTGAACATTCTGGAGAAAAGCCTGGCTATTGTCATATCAGTAATGACAACTGCAGTGGGCTGATTGGTAGCCCCTCAAAAATATATATTCACTTCCTAATTCCTGGAAGGAGTGACTATTACCCTCTGTGGTAACAGATTTGACTAAATTAAGGATCCTGCGATAAGGAGGTTACGTGGGATTATTGAGGTGGGCCCTAAACATCTTCACACGTGTCCTTTTAAGATACAGAAGGAAGAGGAGACACAGACAAACAGAAGGCACTGTGAAGATGGGAAGCATACATTGAAGTAATGCAGCATTAAGCCAAGGAACACCAAGAATCGTGGGCAGCCACAAGAAGCTAGGAGAGAGCTATGAAATTCTCCTTTAGAGCCTCCAGAAGGAACTAACTCTGCCCCAAATTTGATTTTGACTTCAAGCATCCGGTATTGTGAGAGAATAAATTCTTTCTCCGCTCTTTAATTGCGCCCCCCACCCCCCCGCCACTTCCACCTCTGACCTATGGACGTTGCTGTTTCCCCTTAAGAACTGGATCTCTGAAGGCAGGGCGTCTCCTCCCACACGCTTGCTTCGTGCACCCAGGGCCTGGTGCCCCCGGTGCACTTGGAGGGCCTGGCGCACCTGGGGGGCCTGGCGCACCACCCAGGGCCTGGCACACCCGGGGTATAGTCTGTGGCTTCACCTGAGGCACGAACCTAGGACTAAAGCAGACGTGCTAACCAGTACACTATGGAACCACTCCCGAGAATAAATATTTGTTATTTTAAGCTACCAAGTTTGTGGTAATTTGTTACAGTAGCCTCAAGAAACCAATACAATAACCAAACATGTAAAGCTGGTTGCAGGGAGAACTGGCATTGGATGAACTGGCACTTGACAAACTGAGCAGAGAGCATGGCCTGGCTCAGTTACCTCACCACTTGACAGTCCTAGAATATCTTGCAATAGCAGTTTCCACATCAGTTCAGTATCATTCATGGCTCTTTCCCCTGCCTGCTGAAGCCTCTGGTGATGTTTCAGTGGTTAAGGAGTCTCTCCAAGATCTGCCTCCATCCTGCTCTTCATTCCATACCCTCTTTCCTTGGTCTGGTGCCCCAAGTTTCTGCCCTGTCTCTTCTCCTGACCCCTTTGGATATATCTATCTGGAGACTGATGCTCTTAACACCCATGGCTGTCTGCTCTGCAGCCCATGGGTTATTCCCACCTCTCCCCAGTGCCCTGCCTGGATTCAGCGCCATGGGCTCCAGCAAATCCAGGATGATATTTTATATGGTGACAATAATCAATGACGATAACCAATGAAAGAGCAGAGAAAGGCGGGAGGGGCACAGAGGGAAGTCACTGTTGTTACTTTTATCCAGTTTGGTGAGTATCTGGACACCAGTTTTTGGTATCGAAAGCTCAGGAATTAGATAGAGCCAGAATTGAAACACAAAGTGTCTTTATACTTACATTTCTCCCAAGAGTTTGATACTTAATAATAGATTAAAGATTTCCTCCTACCCAAAACCTCAACGTGTTTACAAGGAGTCACTTACACAAGTCAAAGTGTGAAGATAAAAAATCATTCTGCTCCTCCTTGGTGTCATCACCTATTCATATTTCTGCCACACTTCTATTAAGTTTCTTGACCTCTGAGGACAGTGGTCATGACTTACAAGAATCTTTCATTGCTATAATCATTTAGGCTGTCTTCACAACTGCATGATGAAGAAATCTACTTCCTAACAGGGGCTAATTTATCAGAATGAGAGATGAGATGTGAGACATATAAGATATGCGACTGTTAATGATTCATTCTTACCTCATTTGATCCTGGCAGAAATACATCAACCACAGTGGCTTTTGGCTCTGTGACTGGATGAACCAATAAAGCACTTCCTGAAAATGAAGAAGAAATAAAGAATATCATTATTAGAGGTCAGAAAACATTTTTTCCTTTTAATGGAGTGCTTTTGTGGTTTAAAGACCACTTGACTATGAACTTCTTAAAGACAGAGACCTTAGTGAGTTAAACCAATGATCCATCAGAGAGAAGCACTGCTAGAAAGAGAACAGGTGCTCAAAGAAGTGACTGTATTATTGCTTATCATTAAACTACTTACGGTATATTGGGATTACAGGAAGAGACCCTTACACAGTCTATTACAGTCTCATTTTGTGCATAACTGCTAGTCATTAGTTTTGTGCATAACTGCTGTGTCATTAGTTTGAAAGCACCATTGCACTTCTCGAAGTGCTTCATTGTTTGCTATAAATGACAGTAACAGTGAGCCTACTAACAAGTGTGGTCAGCGTGGATACTCAGATCCTCTTCCTTGGGCAATTATCATTGGGAAGGTTAAAATTCTCTTAAAAGCAATCTGAATTATTAATTTTGTTTTGACCTCGGCACCAAACATATGTAAAATTCATACATTTATAAATTCACTCCTTAAATCAACAAATATTTATAAAGTGCCTACTGAGTACCAGGCACTGTGCTAAGTTAAATTCTGGCGATACAGTGGCAAATAAGACAGACAAGGTCCCTGCCCTCACAGAGTTTACAGTCAGTGAAGACAGATTATTAAATAAGTAATTACAAGTTAATTAGAGTTAAGACGAATACCTAAAAGGCGAAAATATAAAATGAAATGAAAGTTATGTAATAGGAGAGACTGACTTTGACTAAAGTAGGTGGAATTAGGTATTGGGAAGCAATTTTGGTCAGGAAAATTTTCTCTAAGGAAGTAGCTATTTAAACGAGAACTAAATGAATGAAGATCTAAAGAGCTAGGTATTTTACATTTTGGGGTTTCCATTCTCTAGAGTTCCAGCTTTTGGGTAATTTTCTGATGAGCCTGACTTCTTGAGCCCTATTCCCAAGATGATAAACTTCCATGTTCTGGATTTGGTGGTCAACCCTAGTCAAAGAAGAGCTCTCCCAACCTCCAACTCTCAATCCTCTTTTGCATATGAAATAAGCTCTTTTGAGTTTTTGTTTGGTCTACTTTTTTCTATTTCCCTTCCCTGTAGTGGTATCACAGGCTTAGTAATGAACCCAGAACAAAAATCCCAATGGTATCCACAAATAGAATGAATTTATTTGAAGTTAATGTATTATGAGAAGTGCTACATGACAAAAGAATAGAGCTATGATCCCACTAATACACTAAAAATTTTGCTGATAAATTTTATTTTATTTTATTTTCGCTTTCTTAAGATTAGAAATTTTTTAGTGTTCTTACACTAGAAAATGTAATAACAAGAACATAATTGCAGCATTTATCACAACTATAATTAATCAAGAAATGCTCACCCAGCATATATTCATCTTCTACACCAAAAGTCTGTAATTCATCAGGGAACTCTACCCACAGAGGCCTCAGGAAAGAAAAAAAAAATCTTAACTTCAACATCATTAGATGTTTTACTACAATTCAATTACTTATATTTTCAGTTTTATAACATTCAAAGGAAATTAGAAAAAAACAAAGAGCCAAGACTCTTTACATGTGATTCAAGATTTTATGAGCAATTGCTATGATTACTTGTATTTTTCTTATGTGAAAGAGCTATCAATTACCAATGAAAGACTGAGAATTCTATTATCTGCAATTTTTCCTTCTGATCATTGAACACTAAATATTACTGACAAGTAGAATCAGAGCTTTGTGCAAGTCCAAATGCCTAAAATGTTTTGTATAAAACAAATTAAATGTTTATAAAACCATATTTTACAATGATACAAAATGTGTCATGTTTTCATGCTGTCACTGCCTTTCATGAATTCTTAATCATAACCTATTTAAATGAAAAGAACTGGTTTTTCTTGTTTTTAAGCTGGCAACATTTTTGGAGGGTTGAGAAACTGTTGAATGGTTTTATTTTTGTTTTATTGTTACCGCTGTACATAACTAGGAGGCATTTGGGCTTATAATAATAGTAAAACTTTCAATATCTATGTATCTGAATATTAACTTAATGGTTCAATTATTTTTTTCAATTTCATTAGGAAAAGATATTTTAATAACAGAAAGTTATTTTTAGTTTATTCATTAGCCTTCGTAATAATATATTCCCTTTCCTACTGAATGGTAACAAAGCAGTGGTCTCCAAAGCTGGCTGATGTCTAGAATCGTCAAGGAAAATCACCCTAAATGTAAATGGATTGCACTCACCAATAAAAAGGCACAGAGTTGCAGAATGGATCAAAAAACAAAACCCAACCATATGCTGTCTCCAGGAGACACATCTCAGCTCCAAAGACAAATACAGACTCAAAGTGAAAGGGTGGAAATGATATTTCAAGCAAATGGCATTCAGAGAAAAGCAGGAGTAGCGGTACTAATATCAGATGTAATAAACTTCAAAATAAAAAAGGTAAAGAAAGATACTGAAGGACACTTCATAATGATAAAGGGAATCATGCACCAAGAAGACATAACATTTATTAATATCTATGCTCCCAATCAGGGAGCCCCGAAATATGTAAAGCAATTACTAATGGAACTAAAGGGAGAAACAGACCAAAACACTATCGTACTAGGGGGATCTAAATATCCCACTGTCAGATATGGACAGATCATCCAAACAGAAAATCAATAAGGAAATAACATCCTTAAATGACACATTAGACCAACTGGACATAACTGATATTTACAGAGCCTTCCATCATAAAACAGCTGCTTATACATTCTTCTCTAGCGCACATGGAACATTCCGAAGAATCGACCACTTACTGGGACACAGAGACAGCCTCAACAAATAAAAGAGGGTTGAAGTCATACCAACCATATTCTCTGATCATAATGCTTTGAAACTCGAGATCAACTGCAGAAAGAAATCAAGAACTACAAATACATCGAGATTAAACAACATGCTACTGAAGAATAACTGGG